GTGTTGTGGATTCTGTGGGGGGAGTGGTGGTTGTAGTAGGATATGTTACAGTTGTAGACTTTGTTGATGGTGTAGTAGATTCTGTGGTTCCAGTAGGTTTGGTTGTAGACTCAGTTGATGTGGTTGTAGTTGTGGTTGTTGGGGTTGTAGTGGTAGATTGCGTTGGTGTTGTGGATTCTGTGGGGGGAGTGGTGGTTGTAGTAGGATATGTTACAGTTGTAGACTTGGTTGATGGTGTAGTAGATTCTGTGGTTCCAGTAGGTTTGGTTGTAGACTCAGTTGATGTGGTGGTAGTTGAGGTTGTTGGGGTTGTAGTTGGTGTTTCAGTTGTAGTGGTAGAATGTGTTGGTGTTGTGGATTCTGTGGGGGGAGTGGTGGTTGTAGTAGGATATGTTACAGTTGTAGACTTGGTTGATGGTGTAGTAGATTCTGTGGTTCCAGTAGGTTTGGTTGTAGACTCAGTTGATGTGGTGGGAGTTGTAATTGTTGGGGTCGTAGTAGGTGTTTCAGTTGTAGTGGTAGATTGTGTTGGTGTTGTGGATTCTGTGGGGGGAGTGGTGGTTGTAGTAGGATATGTTACAGTTGTAGACTTGGTTGATGGTGTAGTAGATTCTGTGGTTCCAGTAGGTTTGGTTGTAGACTCAGTTGATGTGGTGGTAGTTGAGGTTGTTGGGGTTGTAGTTGGTGTTTCAGTTGTAGTGGTAGAATGTGTTGGTGTTGTGGATTCTGTGGGGGGAGTGGTGGTTGTAGTAGGATATGTTACAGTTGTAGACTTGGTTGATGGTGTAGTAGATTCTGTGGTTCCAGTAGGTTTGGTTGTAGACTCAGTTGATGTGGTTGTAGTTGTGGTTGTTGGGGTTGTAGTTGGTGTTTCAGTTGTAGTGGTAGAATGTGTTGGTGTTGTGGATTCTGTGGTTGGAGTGGTGGTTGTAGTAGGATATGTTACAGTTGTAGACTTGGTTGATGGTGTAGTAGATTCTGTGGTTCCAGTATGTTTGGTTGTAGACTCAGTTGATGTGGTGGTAGTTGAGGTTGTTGGGGTTGTAGTTGGTGTTTCAGTTGTAGTGGTAGATTGCGTTGGTGTTGTGGATTCTGTGGGGGGAGTGGTGGTTGTAGTAGGATATGTTACAGTTGTAGACTCAGTTGATGTCGTGGGAGTTGTAGTTGTAATTGTTGAGGTTGTAGTTGGTGTTTCAGTTTTAGTTGTGAATTCTGTTGTTGATTCTGTGGTGGTAGCAGTGTTTGTTGTAGTGGTAGATTTTGTTGATGTTGGAGTGCTTGGAGTTGGAGTGTATATATGTGTACATGTACTACATTCTTTTGATTCCTCATCAAAAGCTTGGGCATATTCTGGGCAATGAGGGTAACAACCTGAAAATAGCAACATTATCTTTGTAAGCATTTTTGTTTATAATATAGTAATATGCTAAACATTGCTTTCACAAGATATATAAATGCTTTTATTTTTTGTCATGTTAAATCATTTTGCTTACAATAATCTTTTATTTTCCTCATAAAGTCAGCCTAATGGGTAGCTTGAATTAATTCATTTTTAATAAGCATTATTTGTGGTTTCAGAAAGCCTTAAATCACAACTTACCTTCAAGCTTTGGAACATGTAGAAAATAATTTGAACAAGTCAGGTATGTATCTGGAGTCCCAGGATGGTAGTGCCATAAGCATGATTCTTGATTCATGTTGATTGTTGAACCATGATTGTTGTAGTAATCACAAAAGACAGCTAAAAATAAAGTGCAGAAACAATACTTAAAAAAATTGCAACTTAAAATGTGATCTTCTTTTAAAACCACAATATCATCTCATAAAATAAAATAATCTAATAACAAATGTTATTAGAGTATTTTGTTTTTTGATGAAAAATCTAGAAAGCAGTGTTGCTCCTTTCCTTTTCAATAATTTTATAGACCATAGGTATGTTTGTTTTTAGAGTTTGTCCCAACTTCATTATTGACTCAATTGCTAATAAAAATTAAAGCAACCATACTTTTGTGTCGTAATATTTCTTGTTTTTTTAATATAACTGTGCTTAAGTTATCTGTCCAGTAACAGTTTATTTCTTTACTAGGTATCAAACTTTAAAAAAAAGTTCAAGAAGATATTGTTTACTTACGACAGATTTCCGGAGTTCTCCATGAAATCAAAACATCAGCTTCATTGCAAGCTTGTGCGTAAGCTGCAACAGCTGAACAGAAACACTCACAGTCCCCTCCAGTGTCACAGGCACATGTGTCTTTCACACAGTTTTCATAGAACGGAGTGGGTTCTACCTGTTTAGGCATGCAAAATTATGGATTGTTTTTGTACTTTTAGTGCAACATCTTCACTCCACACACAACCACTGTAGTACCTTGGAGTGGCAGTCTTTGAATGTGTCTCCATTTATGATGTTGCACTTCATTTTTGCCCAGTGGTCTCGATGATGTGCTTCTTCACAAGCGTCAACAAGCTTATCCACATCTGAGCAAGAGCTGTCCCCTTTCCAGCTGTTTGCAAACTCTAGTGGGCTGCTCACTACCAACCCACTTCGGGTGGTGAAGTCGTTCTCTCCGTTACCATCAAAGTTTCCGCACAGGCCACACACTTCGCCCTGCACAAACAGTAACAAGTCAGTCATTGGCACATTTAATACCATGTTTTAATATCAGCCTCAACATTGGCAAGTTTGTACTTTGTTCTTATAATCAGTTGCTGAGACTCACCATGAATTGTGATTCCAGCTGGATAACAAAATATGTTTTGCGATCCCAAATTACAGTTAGACCGATATCAGAAGCTAGCACAATATAAAAGCCCCGATTTATTATTTGATATTTTATTTGTGTGCCATTTTCCAAAACGTCCTTTTTATATGTTCCATCTGAGAGGGTGATCACATTTCTCTGAAATATAAAGAATATTTAAGTTTTGTATTAAAAAAAAAACAAATAAACTTTTTTTTTCAATATTTCAATATTTTTAGTATTATTTGATTATGTATTATCTGTTTTGATACCTAAAGGTACTTGAAGGAGTTGTTAAGGTTGGGGAAAGCATTTTGTGTCTTTGCATTTTGCCTTACCCCAAGCTGAATTCTGACAGTTTTGGAACATGTTGTGCCTGTGGATCCACATGGTTCATCTTCTGTGATGACTTCAATGTCACTCTCTGCTGTTTTATTAAAACAATTATTCTGAACAAAAATAGGTTATTTAAGTTGTGCTCAAGAGAACAGATAATGAACAAATAATAAGTAAATTAATTAAACCCCACAAACTAAGAATACTACACACATAAATTGCTCCTCAAAAGAACATACTGTCTTTTGACATGTGGCTGCGTACGCAAATGCGTTTTCAGGAAAAATTGATATTTAGTTTTAAGCTCATACCTAAATTTATTAAATCATTTCAAACACAAAGGTCTGCTTGATTCTTAGACTTTCCCTTTAATTTGTTGATGTGGACAAAGTACTGAGTCATCCTTTACTAACAAAGATCCATTGTCTGATAGCCAGTATCTGTATTTTACCAAGTAATCTCCTTCCAGCTGCTGTGCAGTAATATTTCATTCATTAAATAATCCCATTTAATTCCTAATAATCAAATCCCAGCTGCAGACAAATGCTTTTTAGAAGTGTTTTTGCATTAGCTTACCTTGATAGCAACATAAGAACAATGTCCTTGAAACTCATATTGTCGCATGTCAAATGTTCTGTGATGTCCACTTCCATAAATAATGCAGCTCTGTGAACAATTGTTCATTGTGCATATCCACTTTCCACCTCTGCAAGTACTAAATATATAATAAATGTATAGAATTAAGCAGAATTATTAAATGCATCAAATTCAAACTTAAAATGATCAACAGAAAATTGTTTTTAGTCTATAAAAAAAATGCAGCACAAGTAGTATAGTTATTTACCAGAGGTTGCAATCTTGATGAAATGTCCCTTCAGGTTTATAGAATTTACCATTGTGCTGGCATGGACATTCACTTTCATTTTTCACACAGGAGCCTTTACCATCATCAAGCTGGTCAGGAGGACACATGCAGTCGGAGACACATTCTGATGCATCCTGGGGAGATAATATGTATACAGTTATTCAAAAGTACTCAGAAATAGTTGATATCTTTCGCTTTAAACATTAATTTATTGAGTGAGCCTACCTCAACCAACATTAAATTAAAGCTATTTTACTGTCTCAAGAGATCTACAGCCTGTGAAAGACAGCAGTACAAAACCACATGCGACATTTGGGCTATTTTAGTGGCCCTTGTTTAACCAGTATTCATTTTTGGTTAGTCAGTTTGAAAATACTCACATAAGCTGACCAACATGTTCACAAAGCACATTTCAGTGGTGCATAAAAGGTCCACATATTGTTAAAAATGAAAAAATATATCAGGAGTTCTGATCCTCATCAAAGATTAACAAGACAAAAACTCACACAAATATTGTCAATCAGATTCATGCAACTTCTAGCACATTGTGGTCCAAGGGTCTTGGCGCTTGTAGAGGAGCAGTTGAAGTACACTTTTGAAGCAGGACATGCTGTACAAACAGAATGTACTTGTTCACATTTCACAAGATTACACCAGTACCAGTCCTATGCGGGGGTTAAAGTATTTTTAAATTTTTGGGGGTACTATGACAAAAAAAAAAAAAAAATCTCTCTCTCTCTCTCTCTCTCTCTCTCTCTCTCTCTCTTTATATATATATATATATATATATATATATATATATATATATATATATATATATATATATATATATATATTTTTTTTTTTTTTGAATATACTTCAATTTTCTCTATTTAATAACTAACAATCATTTT